AGTTAGTTTCTGTTCTGCTTGAAAGCAAGTCCCTGCCTCCTGCAAACTGTTCAAACAAAAGCTTCAACTCGTACCATTTAGAATCTGTAGTTTGAATATGGATCTGAAGTTGGCGTGACGTTGAAGCAGCGACCCTGCTGTAGCTCCTTTATAGCATAACGTTAGCATTTTGCTTCTTGCGATTAGATTTATAATTCGAAAATGATAAAAGTAGGGTAGACATGTGGAGATTATCCGGCTGAACAAAACGTGATCCGTCTCTTAAATGTGTGTCAACCACAGACCTTATTTCCAGCTATTTTCCTAAATCCTATGGAGAAATTGCATTGCTTTTTGACGAAGGAACCGGAAGGACTTTACTTCCGGGTTTTAGGATGCGTCACTGCGGTTCTCTATTGCCTGCTTTTGTCGCTACCTTTTTTAAACAAATGCGACACACCGCCCGGCTCATTCAAGTCTGTAGGTTCGCCTCGTTGATTTGGCTTAAATCCAAAATACTGCCACACCGGAGAATTGAGATGTGCAGTTAGGTTTTGTAACCAATTCCATTTCACTTTAAATTCCCCGCGAGTAAGTCACACGTTGTCTCCCGCTTGTCGCTATATTATTAATTTGGCTGCTGCACGTGCACACGGAGTGTCCTGACCTGGCTGTGTGTCAGCCCCGCCCCTCACAGCGCGCGTGGCCAGCAGCCACAGCGCTCCTGGCTAAAATGCTGGTCACATCCTTATGTAAACGCAGCCGTGGCGTTATGGGTGGGTCTACTGGGCCTGGGCCAAGCCCCCAGGAAGTGTGCCGGACTCAGATGAAAATATTCGTGGTGGCCAAACGGCGGTACTACACTTCCGTTTGGTTGCCAGGCCCGGAAACACTTTTTCCCATTGACTTATGGGAAAAGAGTGGTGTGTAAATCGTTGGATAATTTTTTTTAAACTAAATAAACTACCCAGTATGAACACTTGTATAGCCCTTATTAAAAACATTCGTTCCTCAAGTTGTAAAAATTAGCTAATAACGTTATTCTGAGAGTTATTTCCCTCTGCATTATGAACGCGCATCTAACCCACAGGACCGCGCCGCCCGGCACGTTCATGTTACGTGTTCAGCATGGTCCAGACCAATCAGAGCACACTGTGCTCACAGGGAGGGTGGGGGCTGGAGCTATTGGAGCTACAACGAGCCGTTAAAGGCAGAGAGTGAAATTCAGTGAATACACGTAGTTTACAGAGATGCTGTTTGAGAAACCAATGTGAGTTGCGTTTATCTTTACCCATGGATGCATAATAAGAACGGACCCATATCGTCTTACTGCCATCCCACGGAGCTGTAATAATGGATATATTGCACATGTTTGCTGTAATTCATTATTATACTACATGGGCAGTATGATTAAATCTTGTACCGTAAATGTTGTATTAAATAAAGTTAATATTACCGACGTTATTAACGTCCCTGTAGCTTCGTATTGCACTGTGTATATATATATATATATATATATATACAGTGCAATAATTATTTCATGCTAAATGAAGCTCTGTTACTTGGATATCACTAGATCTTGTTACAGCGTAATATAAGCACATAACGATTGATGTTACATTAGCATAATTAATAGCTAGCCGCTAGCTGCCGCCTGTTAATATCAAATCCATCATAATAACAAATCATTACCATGCTGTCATGAACGCACGGTGCTGTTACGTGTACGCAAATTGACGTGCTTGATGTGAACGAGCATTTTGGTTAAAGTTGCGCATGCTCTATGAGTGCACATACGGGTACTTCTCAGGCATGCCGGTAATCTGTGACGTTTCGCTCTCTCAAAAGTTGGGCCATTTTATCATCATGCTCTAATGAGCAACTCTCATAGGAATGAATGAGGCCCCGCCTCCCACGCTGTATCCAGTTCTTATTATACATCCATGGCCTGGGCCCACCCATTCATTGATCAAAAATGACTGGGCGAAAATATAGTTTCCAACATTTTTGATCAAAATTAACAATAAAATAAGAGCAAACATGTGTTTCCCTTTCAAAAAATAATAAAATTAAAAGCAACATTAATTAACGTAATCAGGCCGAACTCATAGTCGAAGCGCGGGAGCAAACACATCGTAGACCGTCTCGCGGCTGCGCGCAGACAAAGGAGGACAGACACAAGAAATATACCGCACTCACTAACGATGTCACAACAATCGTTGTTCAGGTTTTTTTTAAAGAGCAAGAACAGAGTCGCCGCCGTCGGAACCACCACACTCATCATCCTCACAGCAGGTGCCGCCTCAGAGAGACGAGAGTGTGTTTAATGTTGTGCCCCCCGCTGAGTTCCCTCTGCGGGACGTAGCACCCGTTGCAGGTTCAAACCCCACTGCAGTCAGCATGTCGTTGTGTCCCTGAGACACTTCACCCCAAAGTGCTCCTGTGGGGATTGCCCACAGTATTGAGTATGTGAGTCGCTTTGGATAAAAGCGTCTAACAAGTGACGTGTAATGTAATGTAGTATGGCTAACGCTAGAATGTATGCTAACGCTACTGTGTATGCTAACGCTAGCGTGCATGCTAACGCATTTTCTCATTGTGTTTAAACATCTCCAAATGTCATCACATAAACACAATACATGTTACTAATCCTTACAGTGTAAGGCTTACGTTTACACTTACAGTCATTGCTTTCTGACGGACTTGACCCTTTTACTCTTCAGGTTGAATAGGGAAAATTAGTAGCAGTGTAGGCTACTCATGGATGTCTACTGCCATGCTATTCAGTTCACTTTCTCCTACTTCCTGTACCCGGTTTCCTGTCTAACTTTCAGTACACATTTGACAAAAATATAAATGTGCAAATATGAAACATACAGGTCAATATCACCTTGCTATTGGTAGCTGAACTCTCAATACCCCAAAATATATTCTAAGATATAAATACCTCATTTTGAGTTATTTAGACACAATTAACACTTATAGTTTCATGTCTTGTTACATAAGAACAGATCATATTTGTTAAAGGTCCCATGTCATGCTTTTCCGGTTATTACCCGTCCCCTTGTGTGTTATGAAGGTTTTTATGCATGTAAACGGTCTGCAGAGTCACAAACCCTCAAAGTACACCCTGTTTCATTTCATTTCATTTCAAACCTTTATTTAACCAGGTGAATCCCATTGAGATCATTGATCTCTCTTTCAAGGGAGACCTGCTGCAAGTAAAACTCTTAACGGCCCTGTCCACACTACAGCTTCAAAAAAAGCTTGGAGCTGGGCGTGTGGGAAGCTCGACCAACAACCAATCACATGAATCTCCCGCCCCTGACACACAAGCAGCGGTTTGATTGGCTAGAGCTTGTACTGGCATATGATTTGATTGGCCTGGCTCTGCTTCCCACAATGCAGTTCGGCGAAAAGTGACGTCACCCCATTCAAAGTGAGTGGGCAGACGCGTTGGAAACCGTTTTTGAAGCTGTCGAAGCTGTAGTGTGGGGTCGTAACCAGAGATGGGGTCGTTACTAAAAAAAAGTAATATATTACATATTACATATTACTTTTTAAAAAAGTAATATATTACACTACTTCGTTACTCTCTACATAAAGTAACTCGTTACTTTACTCGTTACTTTACTCGCAGGGCCGGCCCGCCCCTCCCTACAGGCAGATCACGCAGACTGCGGCGCACCTACAGTGTAAGCGAGCCACAGTTTTGCCTCTGCGAGACTCCACTTGCCCCCCAATTACTATTGCATTAAGGAAGACATAACACAAGTCTTTCTTTATGCTCTAAAATAGGCTACCAGCCACACAACAAGCTAACAGTCTGTGAAACGTCAAGACACTAATGAATTAAACCAGTTCAAGACGCATTATTCTTATCATTCTTTATGAGCGCAGTAACGGTAAGGTATCTAATTACTTATTTATTTAGTATTCCATAACTTAGTAACAGAGATGGTCAAACTAAAGTGGTAGAGACATGGCAGAATTCCTACAATGAAGCGGGACATTGAACTGTTCACCCGTGAGAGGGCAATCAAGAAAAGAGAGCGAGCGGCCCCGTTAAGGGAGTTTACAGATGAGAAGACTCAGCCATGTTTATGCAGCACTGCACGTGGAGATGTGGTCTCGCAAGTTGCGCAGATTACATAGGCCTACATGTATATAAACCGATATAAACCTGCGGCGGAAACCCCTCTTGTCTGTCAGTGAGTGTGATTATTTTATAAAAGTAACGAAGTAACGCGTGCCGGGGCAATGTTAGTAACTGTAGTGTAATTACTCAATTATAAAAGTAACGCGTTACACTACTCGTTACCGAAAAAAGTAATATTATTACTCTGGCCGTAACACAGAAAATACCTGTCTATGCTGCCCCAGAACGCCTCGTTGGAGATTTCTCTTTTTCTTCCTGGGTACAGTGACGTGACCATACCCAAATGGACCCATTGGTCCAAATGGACCAATCCTTGGAGCTCCTCACACACACACACTTTCTCAGCGACAAAACTGTGACGCGCTGGGGGGGTTGCTAGTGGAGCCTCGCAGCGGCAAATCTGTGGAGTGCTTACACTGTAGGTGTGCCGTGTTTGGGGGTGCTGGTGCGAGTGCTAGTGGAGCCTCGCAGATGGGGGTGCTGCAGCCCCCTCAGCAAAACTCATGTACAACAACTTCCTTACTTGCAATAAATAAGCACTAATTAGAGGGTTATTGAGGAAAAACTCTCAACTAATGGCTTATTACTTGTAGAATATGGTCATGTAGAATACGGCATTAATACGTTTTTTATGATGACTAATAAAGAGTCAATATACTGTTAATATGCATGTTAATTAAGAACTAGTTGATGGTGAATGTGTGTACCTCAATATAAAGTGTTACCCCAGAAATTAATCATATTGAAGGATTGTTGGTGGATTTAGGTATACACACACACACTAAACTGCTTCACTCTGAGTTGATATTAAGTTAATACCATTCAGTAGCTTTTGAGCTAATGTCTTTACTTTTGTACGTAGGAACACCTCATCCAAATATGACAACATCAACTACAAGACCGTTCAGATCCAATCAGGACCTCCCTCTGTCTACCAACTGATAACAAAACCTGGGCAAATTGGCATAATAAGAAAACTGACTCTTGGTGAGAAAGATCCAACAAGGAGAAACAAAACCATCTTGCTTGTGGGCGAGACAGGCTCAGGAAAATCCACTCTGATCAATTTTCTGATCAACTACGCCATGGGAGTGGAGTTCGAACAAGATGTCTGGTATCAGATCGTACAGGACGAGAAGAAAAGTCAGTCAGAAAGTCAGACTTCAGACGTGACGGTGTACGAGGTCTTTGGTCTGGAAGATACATCTCTGCCCTTCTCTCTGACCATCATTGATACGCCTGGATTTGGACATACGGAAGGAACTGAACAAGATGTCCGCGTCAGCGAAAAACTTTTGGACTTGTTCCGCTCAAGGGACGGAGTTCACGAGATCGATGCAGTATGTCTGGTGGTGAAAGCAACAGACTGTCGACTGAGTGACCACCTGAAGTACGTCTTTGATTCAGTTGTTTCTCTGTTTGGGAAAGACATAGAGAGAAACATTGTAGCCCTCATCACAAACTCACAGTTCTTCAACCCTGATAATGTTCTAGACGCCCTGAAAGATGCGCATATCATGTGTGCAAAAGACAAGGATAATCAGCCTGTTCATTTCCTATTTAATAACGCCCAGAAAACAGAGAAAAATAAGAAAAATGAACCTGCTCTGAAGTATGCTTGGGACTCAACAAAGGAGCAGATGAGTCAATTCGCAGATTTTCTGGAAAGCACCAAACCTCAGGACCTGACAACGACAGTGGAAGTGCTGAATGCACGGATCAGACTGAAAGCCTGTATCCACAACCTGCAAGAGAGGATTGAGTTTATTGAGAAGAAACAGAGAGTGATCCAACAGACTCATGAAGCCCTGAAGATACAAGAACAAGACATGACAGATAACAAGGACTTTGAGGTAGAGTTTGATGAGGTCTTCAAATGTAAAGTAGCGATCAGTGAGAAACGATGGTGGGCGTTGGGGTTAAACTATGGAGGAGCTATCTGCTGTGAAGTCTGTAAGGAAAACTGTCACCATCCATGCACACTGGCCTGGTATCCAAAACACTGCGAGGTCCTGCAAAACAAATGCACTGAATGCAACATAAAGTGTAAAGTACCAGGCCATAAGAAGGAGCTCTACTGCACCGTGTGTACTGGGAAGTGTCACGTATCCAAACATGTGAAAGAAAAGCAATGCACTGAATGTGAGGCTGAGTGCAGCGATCCAACTCATCAGAAAACACCCTGGAAATATGTGAGCAAGACACGGAAAGTTAAGACGACCATACAAGAGATGAAAAACATGTATGAAAAGGGTAAAAAAGAAAGTGAGAAGAAAACGAGCCTCTTGGAAACTCTTCAGGAGAACATAGAAGACCTTCAGGAGGAAAAAGATCAGTGGCTGGAAGAGTCTTTCGGACATGTGGTCAAACTGGATAAGACCGCCCTGCAGGTGCATTCGATGTCCACTCAGGTGCACCTGGACTTCCTGATTAAGAAGATGAATGAGAAGCGAGACACGGAGAAGGTCAAGAAACTGGAGGAGATGCAAAGTAAAATGGAGAAAGATAAAATAGTCCATCACAAGAGGCGCTATGTTCCCAGTATAGAATTTGATAACCCTTTTACATTTTAAATGTGTATTTCCTGGAAACAGCAACCTTTGTGGTTTAATATTTAATAACCACTCTATACTTCACTGTGCACATTAAGGCCAAATCATACTTTCCATTCCTTTGTGACTCTAAGTGTTCGATCGCCATGTCTGAGAGGGTCCACATGCAGCATGAAACAATGAATTTGTGAATACGAGGACACCGTTTGTTGGCTAACGTGTTGACTATATGCTCTTCTAGCTGGTTTCCAAGAAGTCAAAAGTTAACAAACTGAATGATTGTTAGGAAGAGAGGTTGACATGCCATCACCAGCATGAATATGATTTACCTTTAAAGGATGAAGACAGACAAACTGCGTTGAACTGACAAACAAAAAAACGTGGATTGATGATGGAACATTTGTAAAATTGACCAATACAGACTCTCAATTGTTGCTCTGGTTTGAACCCCCCCCCCCCCCCCCCCCCCCCTGCTGTTTAATCAACAGCTCCCTCCCTCCAAACATAGGGAACGTAAACAAATGCATGATTTTATGACCTTTTTCTTTTTATGTTAAGTAGATGTTGCACTGTTGGAGGAGAGTTAAGAAGTTCAATACTAAAAGTAAGCATTAGCTATTTTGCATTAGACCAGAGGTGGGAGAAGTACTCAGATCTTGTACTTGAGTAAAAGTAGAAGTACTCGGATCTTGTACTTGAGTAAAAGGAGAAGTACTCAGATCTTGTACTTGAGTAAAAGTAGAAGTACTCAGATCTTATACTTGAGTAAAAGTAGAAGTACTCAGATCTTATACTTGAGTAAAAGTAGAAGTACTCAGACCTTGTACTTGAGTAAAAGTAGAAGTACTCAGATCTTGTACTTGAGTAAAAGTAGAAGTACTCAGATCTTGTACTTGAGTTAAAGGAGAAGTACTCAGATCTTGTACTTGAGTAAAAGTAGAAGTACTCGGATCTTGTACTTGAGTAAAAGGAGAAGTACTCAGATCTTGTACTTGAGTAAAAGTAGAAGTACTCAGATCTTATACTTGAGTAAAAGTAGAAGTATTCAGATCTTATACTTGAGTAAAAGTAGAAGTACTCAGACCTTGTACTTGAGTAAAAGTAGAAGTACTCAGATCTTGTACTTGAGTAAAAGTAGAAGTACTCAGATCTTGTACTTGAGTTAAAGGAGAAGTACTCAGATCTTGTACTTGAGTAAAAGTAGAAGTACTCAGATCTTGTACTTGAGTAAAAGTAGAAGTACTGCAGTGACTAAAGAGTTTCCTTTAGGCAGTTTGTATTATAACTTGTTAGCTATTCATTCTTAGTTGCCTATATTTTCAGACTTGAGTATTGTTGGTTGAGTTCAGCTTTTTTTTGCTGCATCATTTATACATTTTTAACATTTCTTTGCATAGAATGCTGATGTTTGTGATTTTTCAAACTATCTATGATGACTTAAAATCACACCAATAATATATTGTATGACATGTTTAAGTGAGGACAACTTTGAAATAAAAGTCCTGTTTTTTGCATTTATACCTTTTAGATATTCATCATTGATTTTGCTTTACAATGTATTCATTGTAATCATTTTAAATCATTTGTGACTGCATATTATTGTTAAATAAATAACAATAGTGGAAACCCATGACTTCCCCTTCCCTCCAGCTTGTGTTCAGGCTGGTCTTCCACCTGGTGGTTTTCCGCCTGAACTGCATCTGCACTTTCATCCTGGAGTCTTTGACAGAGGGCCAGGTAAAACACTTTGTTTAAAATGAACACAACTCCACATGTCCTAGGTCCTATGGGGTTCTATAACTACACATTATACTATATACTATAACAACTCATTACATTGGTTTCAAAAGATTGTTTGTTTTAGATAACCAAATAATTCTGTGTTACTGAAATGAAGTATATCTTGCAAAGACTTTTTTCTATAATTGTTTCCAATAAAAATATTGCATTGAAATCTGCACATTTACTTTGATAATATATTAAAAAAAGTGATAGTATTTTTACTTCTGACCCACAATCCTTTGCACCACAGAAGAGCAAATGGTCAAAGTTTGAGGTGTAAAGTTGTAATTGTCTGCATGCAACAACAAATTCTATGCAAACTGCAGTATTAGTACTTTAAGTGAAGTACAGAAAAAATGTACATGTATTGGAAGGTACATTTTGTTAAAGAGTATCAAGGTGAACCTTTAAATTAAAATACTTAAAATAGAGTCGTAACTGAGGAGCCAGGACACATCCTTTAATATTTTACTCTTTAGTTTAGAAGTAGGCATGGGAAAAAGATGATTCAGTCGCTTCAAATCAATCCACCTGCATTAGCTGCTGTAGCTCAGTGGTTAAAGCAGGCAGTCCATATGTAGATCACTGTGAGGCGTGTGTTTGATTCCCCATCCTTGTAGAACATATTCTGCGCTGTATATTTAAAAAAAATCTGTCTTGCCATAAAACATAAATAACAAAATTAAACGTTACTTAAAGAATTTTCACAAAAATTAAGCACATGCTATAAAAAAAGAAAGCCTTTATACCTTAACTGCTCCCTGCTACCTGTATTCTGTATAGGGGGTATAACTGTTGGTGTCTATTAAAAAACACAAACCAGCGAACACTGAATAAACAAAGGTTCTTTTTTATTTAAAATGCAAGTCTATTCTTGTTCCTTTTGCCTTTTATCGGCACCTTGCTGCTCGGACCCTGTACGTTTCCCCGCTGTGTGACGAATAAAGGCTTTCTGATTCTGATGTATTTGGTATGTGAGAGAGAGGGGTTTACCTGAAGAGACAAGTATGTTTTTGCATTCACAACAACCCCTGCATCTGGGCTATGCAGCGGTCCTCAACACAATGTCAGCTTTTAGCAAAGTGTACATCTGTTTTTATTCCACATATTTAAATATTATTACAGCATACAGTATTTATTCTACTGTAAAGTGTATATTTACCTCCTGTTTTATCTTGTTTCATTTCTGTGTATTTCTTTTTATTCCTGCAACTTACTTGCACTATTATATAATATATATTTCATTATTTTGTTACACTATTTTAATTCAGAATCAGAAGAATCAGAAGCAGACACAGGTTTATTTCCAGGCTTAACACATAAGTGGAATTTTAATTGGTGTTGTGTTGCATACATTCAAATAAGTGCCAACCAACTCCCAACCCCATCAGTTCCCATCGTTGGTGGGTCCGTTCTTCAGGTTTCCAGCCTTGGGTTTATTCTCAGAACCTGAAAATAAAAAGGTAAATAGTGAAAAAATGACTGGAAAATGTTGGAAAACAACCTGATCATGAAGGCGATGAAGAACATAATCTGTTTTCCTCTCTAGACTCATGTCAGACATTATCTACCGATCCCAGAGGATGTCATCAACAACATCTTTACAATATGCCAATGGTGGAAATCTTCAGGAAAAACACAAACTCACCTCCAGAGATGGTCCGAACCAGACACGTGTAGTTTCCTGTGTTGTCAACTTTCAGCTCCACAGGACCATGGAATGGGACGGCTCCAATCAGCCTGTCATCTCTGCAGACTAAGGCAACGTAGTTCCCCAGACCAGCATCTATGGGACTCTTGCAGTGAAGAGGGACATCTTCTCCAGGCTTTTCGTTCACCTCTGTGTCAGGAGAAAAACAGAAAGGAAAAAGTCAGCAGTGCATTCTCACACAGTATACAGAGGTGGAAGAAGTACTCAGATCTTGAGTAAAAGTAGAAGTACTCAGATATTGTACTTGAGTAACAGTAGAAGTACTCAGATATTGTACTTGAGTAACAGTAGAAGTACTCAGATATTGTACTTGAGTAACAGTAGAAGTACTCAGATCTTGTACTTGAGTAACAGTAGAAGTACTCAGATCTTGTACTTGAGTAAAAGTAGAAGTACCAGAGTGTAGTAATAGTCTGTTACAGTAAAAGTCCTGCATTCAAAATGTTCAAGTAAAAGTAGAAAAGTATTATCAAATCAAATCAAAGTTTATTTATAAAGCACATTTAAAAGCGATTTTTTTGGTCAGGCCAAAGTGCTGTACATGTAATAAATACTACAATCACATAAAAACACATTACTAACATTACTACAATCACAATAAAAGACAGATATATAAAAAAAAAACATGGAAAAGTCAGGAGTCGTTAGGGTTCTCTGACTAGAAGGCCAGGGAGAAGAAGTGTGTTTTAAGAGTAGATTTAAAAACCCCCAGGGTCTGGGCCGACCTCACGTGGAGGGGCAGAGTGTTCCAGAGCCTAGGGCTAGCTGCTGCGAAGGCTCGGTGCCCTCGGGTTTTGAGCCTGGTCTTGGGCACTACCAGCAGACCTTATTTAGACTTTGAGAAACATCTCAAAGTCTCAAAGGCAGATAGATAGATGGATCGATCAATCACTGACAGAGCACAAAGTGAGGAAAGTAAAAACTGCTGGCTGTGTCTGATAAAGTAACTAAAGGTATTAAATAAAAGAAGTACAAAGTTGCAAATAATTGTAATTCTCAAGTAAAGCACACGTATCTCACAATTGTACTTGAGTGAATGTACTTAGTTACTTTACACCTCTGGATACCGATGGATCACTGGCACAATAGCCCATCAGCTCTTTAGCATTAGCTAAACCAATGCCTCGTGGAAAAAAGAAGAAGGGTTTCCACGCGGGTTAGATATATATTTGACTACAACTACCCAGCAGAGGCTAGTCTACCGGCTTTGTACAGTATGTTTACCTGTATATTATATGCTATAAAGAATTTCTGTGACATTCAAATGAATTAAATAAGGAAAAATGAATTTGTAGTAACAGAGCGAGAAAGACACCCAGTTTAGCGAGGAGCAACGCTACGTGGCTACAAACTTAACTCTTATTATCGCTTCATATTTTCCTAATATTACACTGACCTCTCACAGGCGATGCAAAAAGAAGGATGAAGATTACGAACAAATCTTTTTTTCCGAACATGGTCATTGGAAGCTCCGGTATGATGAAGCACTCGAATGAAAAGGAAGCTCAAGTTTGGTGTAAAAATATAAGGCAGGCGGGAGGGACGTGCGTAAGTAACGTGTCGTGCGTAAGTGTCGTGCGTAAGTGTCGTGCGTAAGTGACGTGTCGTGCGTAAGTAACGTGCGTAAGTAACGTTCATAAAAGAAAATTATTTTAACATTAAGATATTGAAAATGATTTACATGAAATATAGATATACCCAAAAACTACGTACAGTATGACAAAATACTGAGAATAATACAATAAAAATAAAAGTAAGTTCAGTATTGTTAAAGTGGGAAGAAACTGTTCATATATAAAGTACTATAACTCGAACAATGCGGCACTCAAACTCACATCACAGCAGTTCAGTACTAACTGGCAGTGTTTCAGAATCAGAGACGGGTTTATAGCCAGGTGGGTTCACACGTACGAGGAGTTTGAACCCAAATGCAACAAACAGGAACAGTTTGTAATGAAGTTACATTTCAAAACCCAGCTGGTAATGAGCACAGATACTGTATATAAAAAGCAGACAAACCTTTAGGGATGAAGGAGAGGATGGAGAAACCAGCAGGCGCCCAAGGTCGACAGGAAAAATATCTCAGTCTCAAATGGAGATAGAAAGATGGATAGATAGATCGATCGATCACTGACAGAGCACAAAGTGAGGGAAGTAAAAACTGCTGGCTGTGTCTGATAAGGAACTAGGATGGCTAAACAAATCTATGTAAAACCTTGTTTGGACACACCCGGTTCAGGTGCTCAGAATTTTAGCGGAGGAGGAAGAGGAAGAGGAGCAGTGGGTGTAACTGTTTTATTTCTAGTGTCTTAATTTCTCTTTTGTACATTGCCTTGTTTTTTATGCTGCTGCAACGCAAACATTTCCCAAATTGTGATCAATAAATGTATCTATCTATCCATCTATCTATCCATCTATATATATATATATATATCTATCTATCTATCTATCTATCTATCTATCTATCTATCTATCTATCTATCTATCCATCTATCTATCCATCTATATATCTATCTATCTATCTATCTATCCATCTATATATCTATCTATCAGAGGGGGCAATCCAGCACACTTTGGTGTGCAGATGTGAACACGCTTCAACCAGCACAACACCCACACACACACACACACACACACACACACACACACACACACACCACACACACACACACACACACACACACCACACACACACACACACACACACACACACACACATCCAGCATCAGACACTTTTTGTCTTTCCACTTGCTGCTAGTGATTACACCACTTTTATATATTTGTAACGTTGTCATATTCATTAATTGTCATCTGTTTGTACCTATCAATCTACCTGACTGCTATTTTTATATATTTATTTATGTGTCTTTTTAAGATCTTTCTATCTTTATTTTGTCTATTGTTTGTACAGTGGGGCAAAAAAGTATTTTGTGCAAGTTCTCCCACTTAAAAATATGAGAGGCCTGTAATTTTCATCCTAGGTACACTTCAACGATGAGAGACAGAATGGGGGGAAAGAATCCAGGAAATCACATTGTAGGATTTTTAATGAATTAATTGGTAAATTCCTCGGTAAAATAAGTATTTGGTCACCTACAAACAAACAAGATTTCTGGCTCTCACAGACCTGTAACTTCTTCTTTAAGAGCCTCCTCTGTCCTGCACTTGTTAACTGTATTAATGGCACCTGTTTGAACTCGTTATCAGTATAAAAGACACCTGTCCACAACCTCAAACAGTCACACTCCAAACTCCACTATGGCCAAGACCAAAGAGCTGTCAAAGGACACCAGAAACAAAATTGTAGACCTGCACCAGGCTGGGAAGACTGAATCTGCAATAGGTAAGCAGCTTGGTGTGAAGAAATCAACTGTGGGAGCAATTATTAGAAAATGGAAGACATACAAGACCACTGATAATCTCCCTCGATCTGGGGCTCCACGCAAGATCTCACCCCGTGGGGTCAAAATGATCACAAGAACGGTGAGCAAAGATCCCAGAACCACATGGGGGGACCTGTCAATGACCTGCAGAGAGCTGGGACCAAAGTAACAAAGGCTACCATCAGTAACACACTACGCCGCCAGGGACTCAAATCCTGCAGTGCCAGACGTGTCCCCCTGCTTAAGCCAGTACATGTCCAGGCCCGTCTGAAGTTTGCTAGAGAGCATTTAGATGATCCAGAAGAGGATTGGGAGAATGTCATATGGTCAGATGAAACCAAAATAGAACTTTTTGGTAAAAACTCAACTAGACGTGTTTGGAGGAGAAAGAATGCTGAGTTGCATCCAAAGAACACCTACTGTGAAACATGGGGGTGGACACATCATGCTTTGGGGCTGTGTTTCTGCAAAGGGACCAGGACGACTGATCCGTGTAAAGGAAAGAATGAATGGGGCCATGTATCGTGAGATTTTGAGTGACAACCTCCTTCCATCAGCAAGGGCATTGAAGATGAAACGTGGCTGGGTCTCTCAGCATGACAATGATCCCAAACACACCGCCCGGGCAACGAAGGAGTGGCTTCGTAAGAAGCATTTCAAGGTCCTGGAGTGGCCTAGCCAGTCTCCAAATCTCAACCCCATAGAAAATCTTTGGAGGGAGTTGAAAGTCTGTGTTGCCCAGCGACAGCCCCAACACATCACTGCTCTAGAGGAGATCTGCATGGAGGAATGGGCCAAAATACCAGCATCAGTGTGTGAAAACCTTGTGAAGACTTACAGAAAACGTTTGACCTCTGTCATTGCCAACAAAGTGTATATAACAAAGTATTGAGATGAACTTTTGTTATTGACCAAATACTTATTTTCCACCATAATTTGCAAATAAATTCTTTAAAAATCAGACAATGTGATTTTCTGGATTTCTTTTTTTCTCATTTTGTCTCTCATAGTTGAGGTGTACCTAGGATGAAAATTACAGGCCTCTCTCATATTTTTAAGTGGGAGAACTTGCACAATTGGTGGCTGACTAAATACTTGTGTGCCCCACTATTTTTTGTATATTTGTAATCTTTGGGACAGTGGGAAACTGAATTGTGGTCTCCCTGTTTGTAACACAATCAGAGATATTGATAATAAAGTTGACTTTGATTGAAGTTCGGTACTTAAGTAGGCTACTATTTTGAGGTACTTGTACTTTACTTTGTATTTCCATGTTATGCTACTGTGTACTTCTACTCCACTACAGTTCAGAGGTACATGGTGTACTTTCACTCCACTACATGTATTTAATACCTTTAGTTACTCTACAGATGTGGATGAATGATGTGAAATATAATCAAGTGTTAATCAGACTTTAGTTCCACCTGGAGTAAATCCACCAGCTACCCTGCAGTATACAAAGTACTTCAAACTAGCTGCACCTTCACCAGCTTTGAGAACACTTTCATGATCAATCATTATAAAACATATCATATATATTATTCTGAAATGGACCAATCTGCACAACGACTACTTTTACTGTCGCTACTTTCACTATATTTTGATGAGAATACTTTTCTACTTTCACTTGAGGAACATTTTGAATGCAGGACTTTTACTGTAACAGAGTATTCCTACACTCTGGTACTTCTACTGTTACTCAAGTACAAGATCTGAGTACTTCTACTTTTACTCAAGAACAAGATCTGAGTACTTCTACTTTTACTCAAGAACAAGATCTGAGTACTTCTACTTTTACTCAAGAACAAGATCTGAGTACTTCTACTTTACTCAAGTACAAGATCTGAGTACTTCTACTTTTACTCAAGAACAAGATCTGAGTACTTCTACTGTTACTCAAGTACAAGATCTGAGTACTTCTACTTTTACTCAAGAACAAGATCTGAGTACTTCTACTTTTACTCAAGAACAAGATCTGAGTACTTCTACTTTTACTCAAGTACAAGATCTGAGTACTTCTACTTTTACTCAAGTACCAGATATGAGTACTTCTACTTTTACTCAAGTACAAGATCTGAGTACTTCCACTTTTACTCAAGAACAAGATCTGAGTACTTCTACTTTTACTCAAGTACAAGATCTGAGTACTTCTACTTTTACTCAAGTACAAGATCTGAGTACTTCCACTTTTACTCAAGAACAAGGTCTGAGTACTTCTACTTTTACTCAAGAACAAGGTCTGAGTACTTCTACTTTTACTCAAGAACAAGGTCTGAGTACTACTACTTTTACTGTCGCTACTTTCACTATATTTTGATGAGAATACTTTTCTACTTTCACTTGAGGAACATTTTGAATGCAGGACTTTTACTGAAACAGAGTATTCCATTTAGTATAATGTAATACAATACAAATAAAAACAATATTGCAGTCACTTTTTCTGTTTTGTCTTCTCTGTTCTCTACTGGTTTAAGAAAGAAAGACAATCGAACCGAAGTATCTTTTGTTTTTTTATTACATATTTATTCTTTTATTTACATCTCTTTACATTTCCACGTGTTTTATTCACCTCTCTCTGCTTTTGTGTATACCTCTTTACATTCTGTCCCATTCCTTATTATTTTACAAATCTATTGTTAATTAAAGCACTCCTATGAGTAACTTATTTATTTAAATAAAATAACTTTACTTCACTGGAGAAGAAAAAACATCCAGGTTTTTAGCCATATTTTACAACACAATTGCAATTTAACATTTAAAAAAAATTCGCGTTCAATTTGAAGTATTTAAATAAAAAAGTTTGATATATCACACATCTTGGGGGAAAAACTTTGGCATGTCTATTTCGCAATCCTGAAGAAGTTATTTCTCCCATGTTTTTAACGAGTCATTGAACGCATCAGCAGATCACATGACCACATGGAAGTGAATCACATGCCTCCTGCCTGCTTCTCTGTTTGTATCAACATGGCTGTTCAGAGGAGTGAGTCTCTCCTCTCCAGCGTTACTGTATTTTTGTTATTGTCTCTGTGTGTGTTTGCAGAGGCAAGGGTTAAGGGCTTCAGGAAGTTCAGTGAAGGCCAGGACCCTGAATCATGGATGTATAATAAGAACCCTGAATGCACCACGGGGGGTGTGTGTGAGGAGCTGTGGTTCACCCAGAAACTGGATCACTTCAATGGAGCTGACAGCAGGCAGTGGAAGCAAGTAAGTCCTAAAAAAGGGTTAAATACATGTCGATTCAACTGGTTTTGCAGTGAAGACCCCATAGCGTTTTCATAGCGGAGGCCACTGTAAATCTTGCAAAACTGAAACGTATAACTGAGTTTCAGGAAGTGCATCATGCTGTTGCAGCAGGCTATATATATCTACACTGAACAAAAATATAAATGCAACACTTTTGTTTTTGCTCGCATTTTTCATGAGATGAACTCAAAGATCTAAAACATTTTCTTTTTTCATAAAATAACCATTTCTCTCAAATATTGTTCACAAATCTGAAAAAAATCTGTGATAGTGAGCACTTCTCCTTTGCCGAGATAATCCATCCCACCTCACAGGTGTGGCATATCAAGATGCTGATTAGACAGCATGGTTATTGCACAGGTGTGCCTTAGGCTGGCCACAATAAAAGGCCACTCTGAAACGTGCAGTTTTCCTTTATTGGGGGGGTCCGAAAACCAGTCAGTATCTGGTGTGAGGGTTAGGGTTAGGGTAATGTTGTGAATTGAGTGGCCCATGGTGGTGGTGGGGTTATGGTATGGGCAGGCGTATGTTATGGACGACGA